TGTGTAGCAGAACTCCCAATTGTGAAACTGTAAACAGCCTTGGAAATTCGTTTTTTTTAGACTGGTAGAGGGGACTACTGTAAACCTGATTTTTCAAGTCCTCAGAGTTTGTAGCTAGTCCTTGTTGGAGAAAACAATCATGTTAACTTTACATTTTCAATTCATATTCCAGAACTCCAACTTGTAAAATTGTATACAGCCTTAGAAATTTGTTTAGACAAGCCCAGCCGACTAGAGGAAATGTAATTTCACTGTGTCCTCAGAGTGTGTACCTAGTAGGGCTGGGACAAGTCCAAATCTACTACCCAGGTACCCGACCCCCTATTACCTGACCCTACCCAGGTACCCGCTGTTGGTCTCAAGAGTTGGAAACAAATCTCAGATTGGGCATTGTTTCACTGCAGCTATTTAGATACATGTATCAAACGATCAGTTCATGCGTACACTGAAGTTGACTGAAGCTTTATCCTTACTCAAACATATACAAGTCAAAAGGAATGTATGCATCGTCAGAAAGAAATGTGAACATTAGCGACTTGTGGTGTAACCACTGAGCTATAGTGAGTTTTTGTCATTAAACAATACATCACATGACTAATCACGGGTTCCGGTAGTACTGTCGGTACCCGGGTCCTACTCAGGACCCGGCCGACCCGAGTACTCAAGTTACCCGTCCCGCCCATAGTACATAGTCCTTCTTGGACATGACAAAATGTTTAGTTTACATGTTCTGTCAGTCACATTCAGTTCCAATTTGTAGCGAGGTTGAAGCATTAAGAACTGGTTCCGAATCATAGCCCTCAAATACTACAGGTCATTGGATTTTCACTTGTCCTCAGCAAAATTTAGTAGTGTCGGACCAGCGGACAAGCATGAATTTAAAAGGTTGTGTAAATATACACAATATATATAATGAGGGTAAATCACTATTGGTTTTCAGGGCAGGTACAATCTCAAGGGCATCTTCTATACAATGAAAGACTTTTAATCATATTATTATATAATAAACCTTTTTCAGGATATTCTATTTCCTTATTATGCGTGGGAAATATCTTGAAGTGTCTCAAATACCTGCTTGTCTGACAGTCCAAGATGGTCTATTTTGTTGATGGATGGTCAGTTTTGAAAAGTTGCACACCCTATGGTCATGAGTTAAAGTTACTAAGTTGACAATCCACCAGTTTATTGTCATTTTCTGAGAACTCACATTAAACCCTTCTGTTAATTGTTTTCATTAGTCTAGAACCTTCTGAACTGGCAACATTTTATGTGGTCTGGTAACTTTGCAATGTTGCCAGTCCGGTTGTCTGACTGAAATATTGAGGAATTTTATACACTGTTATTAAATATGAACTGAATTTTATCAGTCAAGATGAACCCCACAGTAATCCTCCTATCAAACACAGAAAGTGGAACCATTTATACTTAATAAGGCAGTATTGATTTCTTGCTCGAGAAAACACTTTTTACAGTCTAAACATAGTACAGTCTTTTATTATCAGTACAAAAAGGCTGCAGGCTCACAGGACATGTATAACATTGTATAGGCAGAGAGAGGTACTCACATATTAATTTCCAATTGAAATGGCATGATATGTATGCTACTCAACCTTTGCTAAGGACAATACCTTTGATTAAAGATGACTATTTTGGTCCTCAGCAAATGTTGTATCACCAAAAAAACAAATTTATCTACATCATGTATCAGAGCTCCAGTTAAGCTTTTGGTGTTGTGATCATGATGTAACTGTCATTGTGGAGTTTGGCAAGGTTGATGGAATGCCCGTTTATAATTTCAAAATAAGTTGCTGATTTGCTAATCGAATACGCAGGGTTACTTCACAATATTTTGATGATACACACACGTTATATTTTTGTAGCGTATCTGTAATGTTCGTTGCGTATTACGCTTGGAATTTATTTTACTGTGTATTTCTGCATTACGCAGATATGCAGCTTATCTGGAGCTCTGTGTATATTTTGATGAACAAGATAGTATGGTTTTAGGTATGTTTTTTCTCATATTTATGAGATAATAGTGGTATTCATCCTGCACTGAATATAAATGACATTGCGTACACAATGAGCATGTTGAACAGTCTGAACATGATGAAGTGCATTCAGACTCAACAGAGCAGCTGAGAATATATCAAAGGAAACGTGACAATCCAGTCTAGTAATGGTCTTCAGCAATCCATGCTTGTCGAAAGAGATGGCTAACAGGATCAGGTGTTCAGGCTCGCTGTCTGAGTTGAAACATGTCATCGTATCCCAATTGCTTAGATTAATGATCACTGGATTGTCTGGTCCAGGCTCGATTATTTAGAGACCGCCATCATATAGCTGGAATATTGCTGAGTGCGGCATTAAACTACAAACAAAACAAACCCCCTTATATCACAGAATTATCCATTTTTATGGAGGAAAACTTCTTTCAGACTCAAAGCTTGTAGAATGACTATATTACGTTTTACATATTGAGTGAAAAGCAAAACCATACTATGTTCAAATTACCCTTAGCATCATAAAAAACAAGGTTAAGATCAACACCCAGTAACACTAAAATCAATGAAAAAAGCACTGCAATCACAAAAATGCGCATATTCGCAAGAATAGTAAATCTAAAAAGCATGTAATTAATCAGACATCAATATGCCATCACTGATGTAAAAGCATTGGAGACCATCAATACAATCATTGTGTGATATACCTTGTCAGATCACACAACAATAAACATAGCCGACAGTCCCCGGAGACAACTTGGCTTGTGATAACATGGTGGTATGAAAGAAGGGCTGTGGCAAGAGTTCAGGCATCATGTGCAGAATCAATCAAATTGTATGGCTGGGCATGGATTATTGATGGGTGTCCTTGCAGTTGGAAAATTAGGAGACAAACATACAGTGATTTATATGTGAGGTATGTTATCATATATTTGATACCTTTCATCTGTCATGGCATGTGTACAGAGTGATTCGGAATGAATAATAATGTATCATAATGCCTCAAATTCACTTCATGATGAGAACGAGTTAAGGAAGGATGCAATAGGCCCATTTTGGGCTGTTCAGATCAATATTTTGGCCAATTATTTGATCAATCACTCAAGAGCACAGGTATTCTTGTTATCACGCTCAGCACTTTCTTCTCATCTGGTTACCATGGCTACTGAGCAGTCAAATTTCACAAATGTGCAATAAAATTAACGTGAACTGTCATTTTACTTCCAGCTGAGCGACTGCCTCATGGTCTAGTGGCTAGAGCATCTGCACGAAGAGAAGAAGGTCGGTGGATCGATCCCCAGTGGAGTAAAAGCAAAAGATGTTGGTAATTGTTGTTACCCTGCCTGGCACTCGGCATTAACGGGAGTCAGTGAGTGCACTATGTCTGAGAGATGTATCCATGTTAAACTGAGGCATGGTGCCTCAGTGGGCGAGCACTATAAAATCGACATTAGTCTGAACTGGTCCACTGGTACACTCACACACACACACACACACACACACACACACACACACACACACACACACACACACACACACACACACACACACACACACACACACACACACACACACACACACACCCACTCACGCACACATACGCACTCACGCACGCACACACTCACACACACTCACACACACACACACACACACGCACACACACGCACGCACGCACGCACGCACGCACGCACGCACGCACGCACGCACTCACACACACACACACACTCACACACACGCACTCGGACACGCACTCGCACACACGCGCACGCACACACACACACACACACACACACACACACACACACACACACACACACACACACACACACACACACACACACACACACACACACACACACACACACACACACACACGCATGCCAGTTGTTATATAAGTGCAATATTCTTGACCACAACATGAAACCCTGTTTAACCTAACCACAAGCTGAGAAGTTGACATTTCAGTCAAAAAGACAATAAAACTAGGATAATGTCTTCTAATTTGTAAAAAAAACAATTTTATTATTTATCTTCATTTGTTTACTTTATGTCACACAATCACACTTTTAAGATTTTTATATAAAACAAGCACTTGTCTTTACAACAACTATTTCCATGGTGACCACATAACCTACACCCGGGGTAGAATAGGTCTTCAGTTACCCATGCTTGCCATGAAAGGCGACAAACGGGATCAGGTGGTCAGACTCGCTGACTTGGTTGATGCATGTCAATCACTGGATTGTCTGGTCCAGACTCTATTATTTACAGACCACCGTCATATAGCTGGAATTTTGCTGAGTGCGGCGTTAAACAACAAACCAACCAACCAACCAACCAACCAACCAACATAACCTACAGTTTTGGGGTAAAAATCTGCACACCAAGTTTTAAGTGGTCAGAAAGGGACCTAAATGTCCATTCATTCAAATGGAAAATGTGGATGTAACTGCTTGAACTAGAGGTCAGTTTCATCATCTTCAGTTTCACTAGCCTGATTGAACGTTCATGGAAAACAGCTGGCCACCTGTACAAACCTTGTACATATTTAAAATATATATCTTGAAATGGAACAGGTGGCAAAAAATACACAGACAACATGACAATTCACCAGCCATATTGTGGACCATGTCATATCTCACACACAGAAAAGCTTTAGGGTATCCAGAGTTGGAAGTCAGTAGAATCACTAGCAGTTGTCAACAAAAGGACATATATCCTTTAGCAGAAAACAGGTCATAAAATTGGAGGTATTATATAATGATTTGAGACCTGTGATTAACTTACTAGAATCATGATTACAGTGGAACTATCTCTTTTACACAACAAAGTATTGGATGTGAGTGCAATACCTTTTCAAACATAAATCATATCATTTATAGGTACTTTTTTTTATCTTTGTATCACAGTGATTAACCAGTTTCAAGCAGGTTTGGGGGGTTGGATAAATTTGATAAACCCTTAGTGCTGTGCCTTTTTTGTATGAGAAAGTCTTACCATTTTTCTGAGCCTTGTAGATTTCTGGCAACCACTTGAGTTTTGGGTCAATGCCGCGATGTTTCCGATATATCGACCATGGTGTGCCCACAATAAACTTAAAATTATTGTAGTAAGTCTCGTCATCTTTCCTCACATACTCCAAGGCCTGGTTGCTGACCTGAGTTGCCTCCCGTACCAGGTGGCGCAGTCGCTCCAGGACGTCGGGGCTGATCTGCTGGTGTTGCCCATGGTTGTACTCATTCAGCAGGAGCTGCACCTGACCTGAAACATGAAACAGTTTGAGAGTGAGACAACAGAAACACAGAACACATGGGGCTGATTGAAACCTGTGACACATGGGAGTGGGCTGATTGAAACCTGTGACACATGGGAGTGGGCAGACTGAAACCTGTGCCACATGGGAGTGGGCAGATTGAAACCTGTGACACATGGGAGTGGGCAGATTGAAACCTGTGACACATGGGAGTGGGCAGACTGAAACCTGTGACACATGGGAGTGGGCAGATTGAAACCTGTGCCACATGGGAGTGGGCAGACTGAAACCTGTGACATATGAGAGTGGGCTGATTGAAACCTGAGTGAGTGAGTGAATATGGTTTTACGCCGCTTTTAGCATTATTCCATCAATATCACGGCGGGGGACACCAGAAATGGGCTTCACACATTGTACCCATGTCGGGAATGGAACCCGGGTCTTCGGCGTGACGAGCGAACGCTTTAACCACAAAGCTACCCGACCGCCCCGATTGAAACCTGTGACACATGAGAGTGGGCTGATTGAAACCTGTGACACATGGGAGTGGGCAGATTGAAACCTGTGACACATGAGAGTGGGCAGATTGAAACCTGTGACATATGAGAGTGGGCAGATTGAAACCTGTGCCACATGAGAGTGGGCTGATTGAAACCTGTGACACATGAGAGTGGGCAGACTGAAACCTGTGACACATGAGAGTGGGCAGATTGAAACCTGTGACACATGAGAGTGGGCTGATTGAAACCTGTGACACATGAGAGTGGGCAGATTGAAACCTGTGACACATGAGAGTGGGCAGATTGAAACCTGTGACACATGAGAGTGAGCAGACTGAAACCTGTGACACATGAAAGTGGGCAGATTGAAACCTGTGACACATGAGAGTGGGCTGATTGAAACCTGTGACACATGAGAGTGGGCAGACTCAAACCTGTGACACAGGAGAGTGGGCAGATTGAAACCTGTGACACATGAGAGTGGGCAGATTGAAACCTGTGACACATGAGAGTGGGCTGATTGAAACCTGTGACACATGAGAGTGGGCAGATTGAAACCTGTGACACATGAGTGGGCAGATTGAAACCTGTGACATGTGAGAGTGGGCAGATTGAAACCTGTGCCACATGGGAGTGGGCAGATTGAAACCTGTGACACATGAGAGTGGGCAGATTGAAACCTGTGACACATGAGAGTGGGCAGATTGAAACCTGTGACACATGAGAGTGGGCAGATTGAAACCTGTGACACATGGGAGTGGGCAGATTGAAACCTGTGCCACATGAGAGTGGGCAGATTGAAACCTGTGACATATGAGAGTGGGCAGATTGAAACCTGTGACACATGGGAGTGGGTACATTGAAACCTGTGACACATGGGAGTGGGTACATTGAAACCTGTGACACATGAGAGTGGGCAGATTGAAACCTGTGACACATGAGAGTGGGCAGATTGAAACCTGTGACACATGAGAGTGGGCAGATTGAAACCTATGACACATGAGAGTGGGCAGATTGAAACCTGTGACACATGAGAGTGGGCAGACTGAAACCTGTGACACATGAGAGTGGGCAGACTGAAACATGTGACATATGAGAGTGGGCAGATTGAAACCTGTGCCACATGGGAGTAGGTACATTGAAATATGACCCATGGGAGTGGGCAGATTGAAACCCGTGACACATGAGAGCGGGCAGATTGAAACCTGTGACACATGAGAGTGGGCAGATTGAAACCTGTGCCACATGGGAGTAGGTACATTGAAATATGACCCATGGGAGTGGGCAGACTGAAACCTGTGACACATGAGAGTGGGCAGATTGAAACCTGTGCCACATGGGAGTAGGTACATTGAAATATGACACATGGGAGTGGGCAGATTGAAACCCGTGACACATAAGCATGATAAGAATTTAATGTTTTTTAACCTGTCTTTGTTTGTTTAACGCTGTGTACACTCAGCAATATTCCAGCTATATGACAGCAGCCTGTAAATAATCAATGCTTGACCAGACAAACCAACAATCAATATCATGAGCAAACGACCCACTCTGTCAGGAGTATTATGAACCACACACAACCAAGTCATCGAGTGTGACCACCCAACCCTTTCAGTTCAGCTATTCTAACCCTGACCTAGACCCATCCCATTGCTTATGTCTTCATTTGTTCATGATAACAAGGACTGGATAAATTTGGCAAAGTATTGACATCATAGGGTGAACAACCTAGCACAGATGTGAGATGTCATGACCTAGGTGTAATATTTCAGCAGATGTCCTAGTGTCTTTCTCTAATAGAAACCTGCTGAGCCTTGGCGTTCAACTACACTCAAGTTAACAATGTATGGTGGAGGCCAGAAGGAATCTGGGAACTGATACTCAAAACTCATGACAGGCTGCGGGACAACTCTCCAAATAACTAAACATTTTCATCTTCCACATTTACTTCTTGCACGTAGAGAGTGAGTGAGTGAGTAGGGGTTAAGGCCGCTTTTAACAGTATTCCAGTCATATCGCGGCATGTTAGTTTAATGTTGGAGGAAAGCCCGAAGTGATGCAGGTCTCAGACGGTTACAACTTTGCTGAAACCAACGAGCACAGGTATGGTGCTGACAAACCTAGAAACATAATCAGGGTGAACCAGGATTCTAACCCACAATCATAGGTTTCTGGCGTGCCCAAGGGACACAACGTAAAGAATGTGATATTGATACTTGTATTTATGTCTATATCTAAACAATGAGTCAGAATATTTTCAGTAGGTATATGGTTGCTGTGGAGGACAGAAACCTGAGTGAGTGAGTGAGTATGGTTTTACGCCGCTTTTAGCAATATTCCAGCAATATCACGGCGGGGGACACCAGAAATAGGCTTCTCACATTGTACATGCTGTACCCATGTCGGGAATCGAACCCGGATCTTCGGCGTGATGAGCGAACGCTTTAACCACAAGGCTACACGACGGCCCCTGTGGAGGACAGATCTTCTATCAGCAACTGTTATTGAGGGGATCATAAATGCAAACTCAAGAGTAATAGATATCACAATAGTGAAAATAACATGGGAACGACTTATCCTACATACCAAAAACTATTAATTTCACAAAGATATAAATGCAGAAATGTCAGAGCAATGGGCAAAAATTACATTAAACAATGGCCACTCTCATCATAATTTTGCAAACAATTTCAAAAGACACTGTGACTGCTGGGACCTTATACACAAAAGTTAAGCTTAATAAACCCAGAGGTTTCAGAGGAGTTACCCTAAATGTAGTAAAACTAGATGCGTGGTGGCATGTGGAGGTGTAAAGACAGACAGTGTAAAAAATTCATATACACTGGAAAACACTGGTATGCTGTTGGAGTCTCACATACGAGTTACTGGATGTTACTCGTAGTTACTGAATATCAAATTTCATAATGATACAAGCAAAAATGGAAGAGTTATGGCCAAAATGACCATTTCAATAAGACTCCCATAGGGCCATGTTAATTTGGAGCAAGAATCTGCAAGAGCCTTCTGAGACACTATTGCCAGGATCATCCATACAAAATTTCAGCTCGATAGACCTTTTGATTTTCAGAGAAGATGTCAAAACTGTAAAAACTTACATGACAACATATTGGCATACAACGGACAATCACCATGACATAAGTTCACTCAAGTTTTCAGCCCAGGTGAGCTAAAAACCTATTCCAGTTGAGTGATCATCCTGTTCAAAAATAGATTAAACCATTTTCCGCATGCTACTCCAAAATGATGAAATTCATGAACACAATCAATCTGCAGCATCAAGCACCCACTTCAACACAAACAGTTGCACTTATATCAGCGGGAGTTCCAGCCAATTGGTTCCATCATTACAGAAGCTGTTGGCCTCCTGCGGCCCTCCATGGTAGTGTCTGGGGAACACAATGATGGCTGTACAGCTCGGGGCAAGTCATAAAAGAATAGCTGGGGCAAATGATCAAAACAACACTCTTCCCTGCGGACATCAGCTATTCTGGCAATTACATTCATTTCACTGTATAGTTCACAAGGCCAGGCTGACATAAAGCTGCCAGCCAATTCTGATACCTAATTGTTGAACTTAAACCACTACCGTATTCGACGTAATAAGCGCACCGCTCTAATATGCACCCACGGCGATATTTGCGGATATATATTGCTGAATAATCACAATTAGCACCCCTTCCGATTGATCAATGTACACAAGTCCCTTATTTCTAATTTTGAGAGCGCCCTGGGCGCTAATTACGTTGAATACGGTATTGCTTAGCTATAGAACTGATTATCCTTACTGGGTTAGACAGTTCAAACTGAATATGATCTTTCCCCTACATTTGTAAATTATTGAAATGTTATCAAGAAAACAATAAATTTCTTTTCAGCAAGTACTAATTCTCAAAAAGAAATGTTAATCTATTAAAATAGTTTTAGGTTTGGAGAAGAGGTTTGTAGACTAAGACAAAATTGTTATGGATGAGCAACTTCTTTATTACAATTGTAATAAAGAAGTTGCTCATCCATAACAGTTTTGTCTTAGTTACCATTCCCACTTCTAAATGCCACTCAAAGAGGTTTGTAGAGCTGACTTGGACCTTTCAGAACTAAATCATATATTGGTATTGATTTGACACTTTGATCTCACTGATCACATCCCTTGATCCGTTACTATGATACTAAAATAAAAGATTTATGTTAGTATTAATGATAGTATGCCAAACTCCCACTCATGGTCATAACCTAGGGATGTAAAGATTCATCCAACAACCGCTGCATCTCTGATGTGCATCGCCCAGTGGTAGCATAGAGTGAGTCAGTGAGTGGGTAGCGTAGAGAACTTCATTTGTCCGGATGAATTTAACCCGGAAACCTAACCTTCCGGATAATTATTCCTGGTGATGCTTTCATATACTACCAAAAAATCACTTCTACACAATTCTTTCATATTGGTATAGTTAATCCGTCGTGACAGTTTACTATAGTAATATGAAAGAATC